TAACAGTCTTTGAATTTTGCCTAGAATGTTTATAATTTTTATTATTCCTGTCCTATGATTACTAATTTTGCAAGATTATTATTTTTAAAAATTTTATTAGATTATTTCTGTCATTTTGATCTTGATTTTTTATTCATCTCATCTATTTTTTGTTGTTATTGTTTGGTTTTTTCCTTTCCTGTTTGGTATCCTTCAAATGTTTATTTTACAGTAGTGGGGATTGAACCCAGGGCCTTGGCATGCTAGTAGGCAAATGTTCTACCACTCAGCTGTATCCTCATTCAAATGGTTTTTTTTTTAGTATTTTAATTTTTATTTTATTTTTAATTCATCTGTTGGCTTTTAAACAATATATATTTAAACTGTATATATAACTATATTCTTTCTGCTTTTTTTTTCTAGATAATTTTTCCAGAGATTACAATGTGTATGTTTTAACTTTTCACACTTTTTCAAAGTCAGTATTGAATTAATTTCTTTGGGTAGGATTATAGGAATGTTGAAAAAGTATAGCTACCCCCCCTACCCTTTCTCTGTACTACTTTAAGTAGTCATATGGCTTTTAAAGAAATTAGTAATAATATGTATAAGTCCACATATTTTATAATTTCTGATACACTTTACTTCCTATGAATCCACATTGTCATCTGATGTCCTTTTCTTTCAGCCTGAAGAACTTTTATTAGCATTTCTTATAGTCTGCAGGTCTGCTGGAGATAGTCTCTCAGGTTTTATATGAAAATGTCTTTATTTCATCTTTATCTTATTTTATTAACATGAAACTTATGTAACATAAAGTCAGCCATCTTATTAATTATAAATTTATTTACTTATTGTAGTGCAGGAAATCAAGCCTGTGTCTTTAGACATGCTAGGCAAGTGCAGTACTTGGTTTTCTTTTCTTTTTCTTCTCAGTACCAGGAGTCGAACGCCAGACCTCATGTTTGCCAGACAGGCGCAATTCCACTGAGCTGTACTTTCGGCCCCAGCAAGCACACTACTACTAAGCTCTATTACCAACCCAAAGTTAGGCATTTTAAAGTGAACAATTCAGAGTTAGTGTATTTACAGTGTTGTGAAGCTGTCGTTTCATTCTAGTTCCAAAACATTTTTTTTTACCCCAAAAGAAGATCTTATGTTCAGTAAGCATTTACTTTACCCCCCATTCCCTTCTCTCTCATGGAATTGCTTTCTGAGTTATAGACTTATGTGTTGTAGATATTTTATAGAAATGGAATCATAAATGTGACATTTTTTCTTTTTTTAAGACAGAGTCTCACTGTGTAGGCCAGGCTGACCTTAAACTCTTGATTTTCTTGCTTCAGCCCCCCAAGTGCAAGGACTGGGATTATACAGGCATGTACCACAATGCCCAGCCAATATAACACCTACTGCATCTGGTCTCTTAGCATAATGCTTTTTGAGATTCTTCCATGTTGTTGCACATATCAGTACTTTCTTTACTTTTCTTTTTTTGTGGCAGGGTGGTTGCTTTTTGAGACAGAGTCTCACTCTGTAACCCAGGCTGGCCTTGAACCCTTCTGCCAGGTCCTCCTGCCTCAGCTTCCCAAGTGCTGGGATTATAGGTGTGTGCCACCATGCCTAGCTACTTTATTTCTTTTTATGGCTGAATAATACTCTGTTGTATGAACTTGACATTTTAATTATTTAAAATGATTATTTATTTATTTATTTATTTATTTATTTTTGAGACAGGGTCTCGCCATGTAGTTTAGGCTAGCTTTGAACTCACTATGTCACCCAGGCTGGCCTTGAACTCGCAGTGATCCTTCTGCCTTGGCTTCCTGAGTGCTGGGATTATAGGCACGTGCTGTTTTTTTTTTTCCTAGCATTTTGACAGTGTCATTCCATTGTCTTTCAGTTTTTTTTCTTCTGTGAAGTCAGATACTGATCCTGCCACCTTTCCTTCTTTCTTTATAATGTGCTGTTTCCTTGTTGCTTTTAAGAGCACTGCTTTATCTTTGACTTTCAGAAGTTTCACCATAATGTTATAAGATGTAGTTTTCTTTTGAAATATCTGCTTGGTGAGGTTCATTGGCTTTTTTACATGTTAATATTTCTTTTTTTAACCACACTTGCGATTTTTTTCCCCCACTCTTCAAATATTTTTATTTCCCTTTTTCTCTTTCCTTTTCATCTGGGCCTCCAATTACTTGTTTTATATTTTGTTTGGTTTTTTGAGACAGGGTCTTGCTGTATTCAAGTTGGCCTTGAACTCACTAGCTTAGGTTGTTTTTGAACTCAAAGCAATCCTGCCTCAGCTTCCCAAGTGCTGGGGTTATAGGCATGCACCACTATGCCTACCTCCAGTTACTTATACATGGGACTGTTTTATAGGACTTTAAGTCTTTATTTTTCCTTCTTTTTTCCCCTTCTTTTTGGATGGTTCATTTAGTTTATCTTTAAATTCATCTATTGTTTTGAGACAAGATCTCAGTATGGATTCTAGGCTGGTTTTGAACTCACTATGTAACCTAGACTGACCTCGAACTCCCTGTGATTCTCCTGCTTCAGTCTTCCAAATGCTGGGATTATGGGCATGTGCCACCACATCTGGTTTAAGTTTACCCCTTCCTTTCCTTTCTTGCTTTCTCCTTGTCCCTTTCTCTTTCTCTTCTGTCTGTCTCTGTCTCTGTCTGTCTCTGTCTCTGTGTCTGTCTGTCTCTGTCTCTGTGTCTGTCTGTCTCTTTCTTTCTTTCTTGCAGTTCTAGGATTGAAGCCAAGGCTTCTGCACTGAGCTATATCCCAGTCATTTTTTAAAAACCTATTGTTTTGAGACAGAGTCTTTCTAAGTTGCTAAGTTGCCCAGTCTGAGCTCAAATTTGTGATGCTCCTTCCTCAGCCTTCTGGGATTATAATTATGCACTATCATGCCCAGCCTCACTGATTCATTCTTTTGCTGTCTCCAGTCTGCTGTTTGCCTGTTTAATGTATTTTCTGTTTGGTTCCTTTATGGTTTCCATTTCTCTATTGAGAATCTCTAGTTGGTTACTCATTAAGGCAATAATTTTCCTTTAATTCTTTGAACATACTTGCAATAACATTACTGAAATCTTTGGCACAACTGATGTCTAGGCCCACTTAAAAACCTATGTTCCATTTCTTTGTGGTAGAGTCCCTCATTTTTTGCATGTCTTTAATGGTTTAAAGTTAGACTTGAAAATTACATTTTAGCAACTCTGGGTTCAGTTGTATTCTTCTGAAGATGATGATGAGGGTCTTGGTCAGCAGGTATTTAATTTGCTTGGATTCTAATGCAAACTGTTGTCCTTCATTTGTGAAGCAGTTGATTTCTGCCCAGGTTTGTTTGTTTTAAAAGCTTCTAGCTGCTGCTTTGTAATTGGCTTCTTGGAGTCTTTCCTGTACCTGTATAGGTTAATGATCAGTCATGACTTTGAGTACAGTTAGTACTCAGATATTTTTCATTAAAAATTCTAGGGGTTTTGCCAGGCCCAAGATTTGTCTAAGGATACCTCAAACTAGGAGACTTAAGTATTGTGCTACCATAATCTGAAAATATATTTAGGTTAAAAATGCTTAATCCATTTAGGTTGAGCATCCTTAATCTGAAAATCTGAACCATTCTGAGTACGGATATAACTCTATAACTGGAAAGTTCTATACCATGAAACTTTGTTTCATGCACAAAATTATGAAAGTACATAAAATTACCTATAGGCTATATGTAAAGTGAACATGAGGGATTAGGGGTTAGCTCAGGGGGTTAGTATGTGCTTAGCTCATATGAGGTCCTGAAATTAATCCCCAGCATCCCTTCCCCCCAGAAAAGTATATACAAAGCATAAATAATCATGTTGCTTAGAGATGGGTCCCGTCCTCAGTGCTACTCATGTAGATGCAAATATTCCAAAGTCTGCCAATCTAAAACCCAAGCTCATTTCTGACAAGGGTTACGCAGCCTATAGACAGGTTGAGGAATTCACTTAGCACAAAACAGCAACTTTACCAGTCTTACTCAGCACAGTTACCTTTTTTAGAGGACACCTCACTAAGTTCTACCTGCCTTTTTTGTTTGTCCCCTCAGTTTCTCCTAGGCACTAATAATGTAGCAGCCAAGCAGGGATTTGTGCAGTTTTTGTTCAGGTTTTGCTATCATATTTTGTGTGTCTAAACTTTCAGGATTTTCTCTTTAAATATCCAAATGCTCTTTTGGCCATGATTTCTGTCTTCTATCATCTCCATCCGTGCGACTAGTTTTATGCTGTTGGAGCTGCTGTGTTTGGGGACTTTGCAGCTGCTGGTTTTCGTATATAAATGTTCCTGTTTCCTGTATGCTTTTGGTTACTTTGCAGTGCCTTCAAATAGTTACGTCTGTATGTTATCTATATTTTATAATAATTTGCATGATGATTTGTCTTAAATTCCTTCTGTACTACATACATGTTTTTTAGTGAATGTTTTCTCTTAGAGATTAACTTTTACAGGTTAAAAATGAAATGTTCGGATTTGGTTCAAAATATAGGGGAGTGAGTGGGGGAAATAGATACAATATTGGCTATGAATTTATAATATTTGAGTCTGACTAATGAACATCTAGCCATTCATTATATTTTCTTCATTTTCAAATATTTTGAAATTCTCCATAATAAAGATTTAAAGCTGGGCATGGTGGCACATGCCTATAGTCCCAGCACTTGGGAGGCTGAAGTAGGTAGATTACTGTGAGTTCAAGGCCAGCCTGGGACAGAGCAAGACCCTATCTCAAAAAAACAAAAAAAAAACTGAGGTTGAGCTTTTTTTTTTTTGGTATTGGGAATCGAACTCAGGACCTTACACTTGCCAGGCAGGTGCTTGTGCCACTGAGCTATATCCCCAGCCTTGAGCATTCCTGTTCAGAAGTCAGAAATGCTTCCAAATCTGAAAGGTGAGCAGTGATACAACACTCAAAGTTTTGGAGCATTTCAGATTTCAGATTTTCAGGGTAGGGGTGCTCAACTGGTAAAGTCTTATGCAAATATTCCAAACACTGAAAAACTCTGAAATCTGAAACACTTTTGGTTCTAACCATTTTGAACCTGTTTAATGTGTTACACTGTTAAGGACTTTTACTCAGAAAGTGTTGAGAAATTAAACAGGATCTAAATAACTGGAAGGACATACCATGTTAATGGATCAAGAGATAGATTTATTTATTTATTTTATTTATTTATGAATGAATGAATGAATAAGACAGGGTCTCACTATATAGTGTAGGCTGGCCTTGAGCTCTCTGTGTAGCCCAGGCTGGCCTCAAACTCACATCAGTCCTCCTCCCTCAGCCTCCTGAGTAGCTGAGACCATAGGCCTGCCTTACTGTGCCCCACTCTATTTTCTTTCTTTGTTTTTTTGAGACAGGATCTTGCTGTGTTCAGGCTGGCCTTGAGCTCACTCTGTAGCCCAGGCTGGTCTCGAACTCGGAACAGTCTTCCCGAGTGCTAGGATTATAGGCCTGTGCCACCATGCCCGGCCCTGACTCTATTTTCTTTTTTGTGTTTTTAAATTACCTTTATTGTGGTCTAATTTTCAAATGCTGTTTTTGAATTTCAGAAACTATCAGCAAGAGAATAGATTATTATTTTGGTACCAGGAATTGAGCTCAGGACCTTGCACTTGCCAGGCAGGTGCTGAGCTGCTGAGCTATATATATCCCTGTAGCCCCAAGAGATTAGATTTTAAGAGTGTAGATAATAACTGCATTTTTAAAGCTTTTAAGAATATTATTAAGTACATGCTTGTGGTACATAATGATTATATTCATTGTGGGGAGTTGGTACATGTGCATAATGCATCTCAATTCTCTTTATTTCCCCTCCCCCTCACACTAAATTTTTCATAGCTCTTTGTAGTTTGTTATACTTCCACATTTCTGAAGAAATTTACATATTTATTGTAGATGTGTTCATTATTGCTGAAAATTTTAATAATGTTTCTACCATAGGAGATCTCTTAGACTCTCTGCTCAGAAGGATTTGAAGAAGAAAGACAAACACCATGTTCCCATGAAAGCAAAGAGATGTGCCACTTCTATAATCAGTGACATTCCGCCTTCTAAAAAAATGAGAGTGTAAGTAGACACAACTTTTTTTTTTGGTGGTGGGGAGGCAGGGTTTCATTGTGTAGCCTAGGCTGGCCTTGAGCTCAGGCCAATACTTTTGCCGAAGCCTCCCAAGTGCTCAGATTACAGGGTACACCACTTCTTCCAGCTAATCGACACACTTCTTATTGCCAAGGACAGATATACTGTGCTTTGTATACCACCTGTAAGTTAAATTTCTTTCCGGAATTAAAATTTTTGAGTGAACTGAGTAGAATTACAAGTGGGTACATCTTCAGTCTGGTGCACCTGAGGCTCGGGAAACTCCTTAAGCTGTGACCACAATGAGTGGAATTATTACCTGTGTCGTGGAGGGTGACTCACTTTAGTTAACATAGCCCAGTTTACTTTTGTGGCTAAGGACAAGCCAATATATGGCATTTTTTTCCTATTTTTATCAGTTAGGAATTCTTTGTGGCAAATAGTATTCAACTAGAGTGTTTAAATAATAGTGACTTGTTTTGCTTCATAGAAGTTTACACATAGTTTACTGCTTGCTTTGGTTCAGTTGCTGAATGATGTCAAGCTGTCATCTGTGATACTTAGTTTTTTGTTTTTGTTTTTGTTTTTTTAAATACTTGTTGCTCAAGATAGCTGCTCTATTGCTTTTCTTAGTTGTTTCCTTTGGCTTGTTTTGTTTTGTTTTGTTTTGTTTTGTTTGAGACAGGATCTTGCTATGTAGTCCAGGCTGGCCTTGAACTCACTATGTAGCCCAGGCTGGCCTCCAGCTCATGTCTCTCCTCCTGTCTCAGCACCCCAAATGGTGGGATTATAGGCATGTGCCACCATGCCTGGCTTTGTTTGACTTCTGATTCACTGTCACAAGATAACTGCTCTATCTATAGGCAGAGCATCCATATTCAAGAGAAAAATGAGTGTCTGATGAAGAAAGTGTAGCATTCACATCAAGAAAGTGAAATCACTGGCTATGGTAGTGTACCTCTGTAATCCCAGCACCTAGAAGGCTGAGATAGGAGGATCACTGTGAGTTCGAGGCCAGCCTGGGCTACGTAGTGAGGCCCTGTCTCAAAAAAAAGTGAAATCTTTCTCAAAAGCACTTAAATTACATCTTAGTTGCTCAAGCTGTCCTTTGGGCTCCCCAGTGGCAGTAGAGACTGTCAGAATAAGTACAGTACTTACTTGTAGCTTGGTATATTGCTGCTCTTCCTAATAAGAATGAGATGGAATGGATAACAGGAAGTAACTACTGTCTGCTGTTTTCTTCCTTTTTTGTACTGGAAGTCGAACCCATGACCTCATGCTTGCCAGGCAGATGCTGTGCTGCTGAGCTAAATCCCTGGTCACTGTTTTGTTCTTTGATGATGAGCAGATAGAATCGTTTCTCACCACTGGCCAGTGCTTACCTTGACCTCTGTTGACTTTCTCACAGTTTACTCACTGGAGACATTGCTATCCAGGAATCTGCAGCTTGCAGCCTGCATGTCAAACATGCCTATGTTATAATAAAAAGTGTATTTTTATAAAGGAAGTTTGTTTAAACTTAATGTACATTAACAATATTTTTGTGTACAACCCAAGATAATTCTTCCTCACCTAATGTAGCCTAAGCAAGCTATGCATGTCTAAACCATGGGCCTCATTTGGACATGGTTCGTGTAATGATCTAATGGTATTATTGGAAACAATTTGTGATTAGAGTATGTTTATTATCCTAAAAATGAGAATATCTGAGCCATATTGGCAGATTTGGGGAGGAAGGGTAATGTGAAATATGCATTACGGAATTGAGTGTATATTTTTTGACCTTTTAAACTCAAGTTCTCAAAACAGAAAAAAGCCAGAGGAAGAGGAAAAGGGCAATGATGCTCAAGATACTTCCAAAAAGAATAAATGTTCCCCAGAGAAAGCCAAGGGCAGATGTACTGTGCCTCATGTACCAATTATAAAGTAAGTTTTCTTTCCCAGGTTAAACTAAGAGTGAACAGAGTACAATTACAATTATGAGTGGGTACATTTGCAGTCACATTAGTGTACCTGAAACTTGGGGAAATCCCTAATGCTGTGTTCATGATAGGTGAACTGCTACCAGTATTCTAGGTGCTGCTGAAACCCTAAATAATGCGAAAATACATTATTTAAATATAAAAGGAAAAGTTAATGAAGGTTCTTCTATCTAAATTGAAGTTTATGTTTTTTTAAACTTTCTGATATTTTCACATTTTAAAAAGCTCCCTTTGGCCTTTACTTATATATACATATTTCCACAATTAGTTAATGAACAATGTTTGATTCTGCTTAGTCACTTGGCAGAAGATGTCTGTTTTCCTGTACTGCTGCATATCTTTATGTTTGTACTTTTTTGGCATTTTAATATTTTATCAAAATTGTATTTAATCATTTTCAATTGTAGTGTAGTTCCTGGTTTTTCATCATAATCAGTGATTATACAGTAATCAATGAACCAGCTTTATTGGCAAAGCCATTTCTTTGAGGAATCTCCTTAGGATAAAGAGATTCTTTGATCAAAGTGTCTCATGATTTTGTGGGTGTGATATTGTTGCTACTTTAATTTCTGAAATTAAAGTACAAATTTATACTGCTGTTGGCTTTGAATGAGTATTTCCTACCATCTGTCTGAGGCAGGGACTCACTGTGTACTTCAGCCTGGCCTTGAACTCATGGCAGTCCACCTGCCTCAGCTTCCTGAGTGCTGGAATTATAGGTGTGCACCACCATGCCTGCTGGTTTTTTTTTTTTTTTTCTCTTTCTTTTTCTTTTTCTTTAACTTTTTTTTGGTATTTGGTTTTTTGAGACAGTCCTGTTTAGCCTTGAATTTGCTATGTAACCCAGGCTTGTGATCCTGCCAAAACCTCCTGAGAGCTAGAATTACAGGCATATGCCACCACACCCTACAAAGGTTTTTAATTTTTTTCTCCTGGTACTGGGGATTGAACCTGTGTTAAGCAAGCAGATTCTCACCAAGCCATACACCCAGTCCTTTTTAAAACTGGTACAATATTGATGGCATCAAATTAGTTTTTAAATTTTATAAATTGACACTTATTGTATATTTTTATGTGATACAGAGTAATGTTATGACTTTTAACAACAATATAGAATAATTAAATGAAGGTAGTATGTCTAGCATTACCAATACTCAACATTTTTTATGGAGGGAACAACTGAAATTCGCTCTTAGTAATTTTGAAATTTGCAATACAGTGTTATTACTATATTACTATGCTGTGTAATAGATCTTAAATAAACACTTAAGATTCTTTTGTCTGACTTTTTCATAGCCTTTTAACTATCGTCTCTTTTTTCTTTCTATCCCCAGCATCAAATTATTTTAAGACTTATTTGCTGACTTATTGTATTACTGTTACTGTTATTGTAAACATCTGCATATTTCCTTTTAGTGAATTGTCTCTTTTCTTTAAGTGGTCTTAGTGATATTCTTACTACTAAGAATGGCCACTGTGTGTTGAATTTAAACATAGTCAACCACTTCAGAACCACCTGATTTAATAGTCATAAATATTCGGTAAGCATGAATTTTCTGTGCTTTAACTTTCAGTGGAGAAAATAGGCTAAGACAGATTAAATAGTTTTCTCAAGTCTGTATAGACCAAAAAAAAAAAAAAAAAGGCAGAATTGGCATTTGACTTCTAAGTCTGTCTTGTGTTCTACCTTGTTTGCACTACTTCCATATTTCCAGTAAATATTTTCCCCATTCTTTTGTTACTCACCATTCTTACTGTTTTGGAGTGCTGGGGATCAAACCTAGGAACTTGTGCTTGCTAATCAAGCACTCTACCAGGGAACTACCCCAGCTTTATTTTTCTTCCTCCTCTCCTCATCTCCCCCCCCACCCCTCCTTCTGCCTATCCCTGCATTTCCTTACCCCTCCCCTTGTCTTCTCTTCCCATTCCCTTTTTTTCTTTCATCCTTTCTTCCTTTTGTACTGGAGATTTAACTCGAGGCCTTTACACTGAGCTGTATTCCCAGCGTCTTCTTTTTTATTTTTTGGTAGTGGGAATCGAACTTAGGACCTCGTGCTTGCCAGGCAGGCACTGTGCCACTGAGCTATACTCCAGGTCCATCTTCTCCTACTTTTAAATTTTTATTTTTATTTTTTATTTTTTGGTGCCAGGAATTGAACTCAGGGCCTTGTGCTTGCCAGGCAGGTGCTTGTGCCACTGAGCTATATCTCCGGCCCCTAAATTTTTATTTTTTATTTTGAGACAGAATCTCCTGAGTGTATACATTTTTCAGGCTGGGCTTGAAATTTGCAGTTCTCCTGCCTTAGCCTCTCAGAGTGCTAGGGGTTATAGGCCTATGCCACCATGCCAATTTTTACTGTTTCTTTTAAATTAGATTTTTTTAAAAATTAGATTTTTCATGTGTAATAAAAACTAAATCATTACATAATGAGATTGTGGATCTTTGGAGTATCTTTTACAGTCTGTTTTAGCTATTTTTAAAAGTTTTCATTATTTTGGTATAAAATATTTGGTATGCGTGTTGATTTTACATTTGTTTATAGTGTTATTAAGCAGTATTGTTCATTAGATAATACTTTTTGGGTTTTGTTTTGTTTTGTTTTGATGGTTATTTTGTCATAGATTAAAAACATAGTCTGTAGAATGCCTTTAGATTCTCTTGAATCATTGAATCCCTTTCTTCTCTCCAATTTGTTTTACTGATTTGCCCTTTAGGCAAAAGGTTCTCAAAAGTACTGAGGAGCAGGAGTTGGAGAAGAGCATGAAAATGCAGCAAGAGGTGGCAGCAATGCGGAGAAAGAACGAAGAGTTCAAGAAACTTGCTCTTGCAGGAGCAGGTCAGCGGGGCTCTGCTGAGCATTTTATGAGGGTGCTTCGTATAATCTCGGGGTTTCTTGGTTCTCTGCAAGAGGAATTTCTCAGTAGTCAGCAGAAAAATAATTGCTTACTTAAAAGACTGGATATGGGTCTCCTTTATATCCCAGCGATTATTCCCATTTTACCTACATTGGCCCTTACAGCATGTTATTCTTCCTCTTTTTACCAGAAAAAGAAGGAACTAGATGGGATGGAACAGAAGATAAACCAACTTATTGTTGTTATCTATTCTCTTTTATTCTAAAGACAGGAAAGGAGGGCTGATTCCAGCCAGTTGCACTGAGAAGTATGCCTGAGGGGAGGGGTCGCAGTTCTCTTTTTACTCTGGCATAGGGTTATTGACAGAGTCAAAGGTATAAAGTCCTTCTTAATGGGTTGAAAAGCACCCCTGGAGATGATAGGATTTCATTTTCCTTTTAGAGATGCTGAGTTAAGGTTTCTTTTAAAGTAATTACATAAGGGCTAGCAGTGTAGCACAGTGGTAGAGTGCTTGACTAGCATGTGTGAGGCCCTGGGTTTGATCTCTAGTACCACACACACAGTCAGTCTAGAGCTTTTCCTGTCAGAGGTATCCCACTGACTCCAAACCTGCGACTACATCTGGGAAATGGGATTCATCTTCCCTGTTGTATCTCTTTTATTTGCATCTGACTATAGGGCTTCAAACCTAAAAAGAGCCAATGAATATGTCACATGTGTTAGAATCTCAGAGGACTCCTTTGGGTTACATATAGGTAGGTAGTGAACAGTTAGAACCATGGTAGTTGAAATAGTGAAAGGATAGAGTAAAAAATGGGATTTATTGATATTCTCTATTCCCATCCCCCTGCTTTTTTGAGACATGGTCTTGCTGTGTAGTTCAGCCTGGCCTTAAACTCATTGTGTACCCCATACTGGCCTTGTACTTGTGGTGGTTCTCCTGCCTTAGCCTAAGTGCTGGGATTACGGGTGTGCGCCCCCATACCTGGTGCTGATGTTCTCTATTCTTAATGTTTTCTTTATGTCTCTTTTTGTTCCTCAGGGCAACCAGTGAAGAAATCAGTGAGCCAGGTAACCAAAGCAGTTGACTTTCACTTCTGCACAGATGAGCGAATCAAACAACATCCTAAGAACCAAGAGGAGTATAAGGAAGTAAACTTTACAGCTGAACTGCGAAAGCATCCCCCATCTCCTGTAAGTTGATAGGGTAGATGAATATTGTTGTTGCTAATTCAGATTTCAGGTATGGCAGTTGTGGTTACTAATTACAGTATAGTTTAGTTGAAAGAAACATATTTTTTTTTAAGAGTAGGAGGAATTTGAGAGAAAGCTTTTGCCTGAGAGGGACAGAAGAGGGTCCACAAAGTGGGTTGCTAAGAAGCATATGGTTTGTTTGTTTTGTCTTTTTGAGAGAGGGTTTCACTGTACAGTTTAAGTTGGCCATGAGCTCACTTTTTTTTTTTCCAATTTTAAAGAGTAAAAGAAGGATAACATAATAATGGGGGGGCTTACCAAATTACAGACAAAGTGGTAGGAAATTATCAATGGTTATTGTTTTACATATTGTTATCTACAAAATAGTTTCTCAGGAAAAC